TGGCGGCGACGGAGGCGGCCGTCTGGGAGACGGCTGCGAGGGCGGTGCTGATGGAGGGAGCTGCGACGGCGGTGGCGGGAGCGGTGGTGCAGAAGGCGGAGGGGGCGAGGGTGGCGGCGGCGAGGAGGGCGGCGGCGAGGAGGGCGGCGGCGGTGCGGGCGATGGCAGTGAGGGTGGTGGCGGCGAGGGTGGAGGCGGGGAGGGCGGTGGCTGCGAGGGCGGCGGCGGCGACGGAGGCGGCGGCCCCGGGGGCGGCTGCGACGGCGGCGGTGGCGAGGGCGGAGGGGGCGAGGGCGGCGATGAGGGCGAGGGTGGCGGCGGTGGTGCGGGTGAAGGCAGTGAGGGCGGCGGCGATGGCGAGGGCGGCGGCGGCGAGGATGGCGGCGGCGGCGAGGGTGGCGGCGGCGAGGGCGGCGGCGGTGACGGAGGCGGCGGCGCGGGGGGCGGCTGCGAGGGCGGTGCTGATGGAGGGAGCTGCGACGGCGGTGGCGGGAGCGGTGGTGCAGACGGCGGAGGGGGCGAGGGTGGCGGCGGCGAGGAGGGTGGCGGCGGTGCGGGCGGCGGCGGTGCGGGCGATGGCAGTAAGGGTGGTGGCGGCGAGGGTGGAGGCGGCGAGGGCGGTGGCGGCGAGGGCGGCGGCGGCGACGGAGGCGGCCGCGCGGGGGGCGGCTGCGAGGGCGGAGGGGGCGAGGGCGGCGATGAGGGCGAGGGTGGCGGCGGTGGTGCGGGTGAAGGCAGTGAGGGCGGCGGCGATGGCGAGGACGGCGGCGGCGAGGATGGCGGCGGCGGCGAGGGCGGCGGCGGCGAGGGCGGCGGCGGTGACGGAGGCGGCGGCGCGGGGGGCGACTGCGAGGGCGGAGGGGGCGAGGGCGGCGATGAGGGCGAGGGTGGCGGCGGTGGTGCGGGTGAAGGCAGTGAGGGCGGCGGCGATGGCGAGGGCGGCGGCGGCGAGGATGGCGGCGGCGGCGAGGGGGGCGGCGGCGAGGGCGGCGGCGGTGACGGAGGCGGCGGCGCGGGGGGCGGCTGCGAGGGCGGTGCTGATGGAGGGAGCTGCGACGGCGGTGGCGG